CCAGTAACGTCTCCATTGGAGACTTTGTTGTTACTGTGTCTGGCATATCGAATACTCTCGGTAGCTTGCCGGGCTCTCCGAGAGGGGCGGAGGGATCGAACTCGGGTCGGCCATGTTGGCTGCATGCAAGGCAAACCCCCTACCCGCTGTGCTATCGCTCCAGCGATATAAATTATAAAATTTATATTTTATAAATTATATAGCACTGTAGCACTGTCCTCCCACTATTCGTCGATTTGCTCAAGTGGGCACCAGTAACAGCTCCATTGTGAGATTTATTACTGTTTTTAGCATATCGAATATGCCACGGGAAGCTTGCCAGGCTCTGCCGTGTGGGCGGGATACTCTTGGTAGCTTGCCAGGCTCTCCAAGAGGGATGGAGGACTCAAACCTGGTTCAGCTGCATGCAAGGCAAACGCCCTACCTGCTGTGCTATCGCTCCTGCCCCCCTCCCCACCATCACTACCCAAAAATAAAAAGTGAAAATTGCTTGCAAATGCTCTTGAAAATTCCTTTTTTTGATGGGCTTACTTGACCCTGAATTTGGGGGAGGGTGGTTTTGAACTCAGATCGCTCCTCTCGGGAATCTGGGGACCTACAGGGTGTCAGGGACCAAACCTGGAAGCAGTCTCGAAAGGCGAGTGCCCACCCACCTCACTTCTCACCAGCCCCAGGAGCGAGAAGCCTCCAAGCGTTTTTTTGTGCACAAAATGGAAAAAAATAGAGGAAATGGGGAAAAAATAAGAGGGTCGTATGTTCCCTCCCCGCTCTGTTTTGTGTGTCTAGGACCACATTCTCCCCTGGAGTTTAGTTTAACCCTGATGTGTTTACCAGAAATACTGAATTTTCTAACAATGATCTAAGCATTTTCAATTTAATTTGATTTCGGGTCATTGTTGGGAAATAAAACAGCACTGTCGCACTATCCTCCCGTTGTTCATCGATTTGCTCGAGCACGCCCAGTAACGTCTCCATCATGAGACTTGTTGTTACTGTGTTTGGCATCTCAAAGACGTCACGGGTAGCTTGCCAGGCTCTGCCGTGCGGGCGAGATACTCTCGGTACTTGCCGGGCTCTCCGAGAGGGGCGGAGGAATCGAACTCAGGTCGGCCGGGCCGGCCACGTGCAAGTCAAATGCCCAACCACTGTGCTATCGCTCCAGACCAAATAAAATAGATCTGATATTTATTTATTTATTTATTTTTATTTATTTATTTTTGCTTTTTGGGTCACACCCAGCGATGCTCAGGGCTGACTCTTGGCTCTGCACTCAGGAATTTCTCCTGGTGATACTCAATGCTCAGGGGACCACATGGAATGCTGGGGATCGAACCCAGGTCGGCTGCATGCCAGGCCAACACCCTCCCCGCTGTACTATTACTCCAGCTCCCAAACAGACCTTATCTTAAGAGCTCGCAGGGAAGCTTGCAACTTCTTTCCTTCAGTTTATTCAATATATATGCCCATGTTACCTCTACTATAAATCTAGTCAGCAAGAGAAATAACCTAGAGGCATCACTGTCACTGCCACTGTCCTCCTGTTGTTCATCAATTTGCTCGAGTGGGCCCAGTAACGTCTCCATTGTGACAATTGTTATTGTGTTTGGCATATCGAATACGACCTAGAGGCATATGATTTTAAAAACCTTTAAATTGGGGCTGGAGCGATAGTATAGCGGGTATTGGCCTAGCACATACATTAAAGAGTTCTGTGTTCACCCCTCTGTGGAAGTACTTTGTCCCTTTATAGCCCTGATTCACAAACCCCCAGAACACTCACCCTTGGAGCTCTGCTCGCTCCTGGTCTCAGCAGGGCCCTCTCCTTCACTTCTGGGTCCTCACAGTTTGTCAGTTTGTCTGTCGTGGTTCTTCTGATTATTGTTGGTGCCAGACACTTCCTACTTCTCTGGGTCCCTATTTGGGCATCAGCTGCCTGGGACCAGCCCCGGGTGAACAGGCCTGAAGCAAAGCACCACAGGGATTAAGAAAAGAGGCTGAAGGGGCTGGAGTAATAGCACAGCGGGGAGGGTGTTTGCCTTGCACGCGGCCGACCAAGGTTCGATTCCCAGCATCCCAGAGGGTCCCCCGAGCACTGCCAGAAGTAATTCAGTGCAGAGCCAGGAGGAATTCCTGTGCATTGCAGGATGTGACCCAAAAAGAAAACATAAAATAAAAAGGCTGAGGGACTATTGCACAGTGGGGAAGGCGTTTGCCTAGCATGTGTCTGACCTGGGTTTGATCCCTGGCATATCACTGAGTCCCCTGAGCACCACCAGGAGTAATTCCTGAGTGCAGAGCCAGAAGGAATCCCTGAGCATCGCTGGGTGTGACCCAAAAAGCTAGTTATCCTGTTGTTCATTGATTTACTCAAGTGGGCACCAGTAACGTCTCTGTGCATCCCAGTCCTGAGATTTTAGCAGCCTCTCCTTACTCATCTTTCCTAACAATTGGAGGCTTTTTCAGGGTCAGGGGAATGAGACCCATTATTGTTACTGTTTTTGACATATTGAATACACCATGGGTAGCTGGCCAGGCTCTGTCGTGTAAATGGGAATAAGGAAGAATAATGGGAATAAGGGAGAAAAGACATAAACACATATGAAGCACTTCCTCCAGGGGAAATTCTTCTAGACGAGGGGGCACTCCATCTCCAACGTTCTGGGTACTGGTCCCCAACACTCTGTGCTACGTTAACAACTAAAGTTGGTCAGTTAACAATTAACGCTGGTAGTTCTTACAAAATTCCTTTGACTCCTCAGTTTGCTGTTACCTCAGTAATGCCTGTTATTTTGTTGTGTATTCACTGTATTTTGTTGACTTTTTTCTGAAGATAGTTTGTGGGCTGGGGCTGGAGAGATAGTCCAGTGGGGAGGGTGCTTTGTTTGCACAAGCCAGGCCCGGGTTCAAACCCCAGCATCCCATATGGTCCCACGAGCCTGCCAGGAGTGATCCCTGAGTGCAGAGGGGTCCAGAGGCCTCCAGAGGCTGTACCTCACAGCACTGGGAGTGGGGTCTGGATGGCCAGACAGACAGGTGTGCAGGGAGCATAGTGGGTCTGCAGCACAGAGGGCCTTTACTTTAGTCCTGTTCTCTCTCTAGCTGACAGAAGTTGCTTTTGGTGTCTATTTTGTTTTGGTTTGGGGGACACTATGGGATGCGGGGGATCAAACCTGGGTGGGGCCACATGCAAAGAATGAAGCACACACCCCCCTCCCCGTTATTTTTAAATCTTTGCCTATTAGATTCCTTGTTTGACTTCCTAATGGTTTCTCATTGCGATCCAACTTTCTTGAGCATTTGCTTTGTGCTTTTGAGGTATTTTCTCTTCCTCAGTCTCTGGTGCACAGAGCGAGCACGTCAGAGTTGTCTCCCCTCTCTCCTCCAAGGCCTGGTCCCCGGCATCTAGGCCCTGTCTCTGTCAGCACAGCTGTGATGCCCTCAGCCGGGGTCCTGAGGACAGCACCCAGCCTGAGGGGCCGGACGGGATTTCCCTCCCAACAACTGGCACCACCCCTGGCTTGGCTGCAGTTCCTGCAGCCGCTCTGTCAACCCAACAGCCACTCAAAACCGCAGGCAGGGGTGCCACAGCAATAGGACAGTGGGGAGGACATTTGCCTTGTACATGGTGGACCCAGGTTTGGTCCCCAGTATCTTATACGGTCCCCTGAACCCCACGAGTGATTCCTGAGAGCAGAGCCAGGAGGAACCCGTGTCGTCACTGGGTGTGGCCCCAAAAGCCAAAAACAAACCAAGAAATGCAGGCTGGGCCAAGGTGTTGTGGGCAAGACCTATCCCGAACCCCTAAGGTCCACTGAGCGCTGCCTGAGTGATCTTTGAATACTACCGGATGTGGACCCCAAAACACTAAATATAGCTCTTGGATTTTTGTGGGGCCCACATGCGCTGCTGTGGGTGGGAAAGGACAAGACTTAAACCCTTTACTGAGATGATTCATTAAAAATGTTCCTCTGTATCGTGGCGCAGGGTCCGCACACCTTAGTCCTTAGTGGATCTTTACCAACTAGCTTTGGTTGTGACTTTTCTGTGAACACGGCTTTCTCTTGCAGAATCGGGTGGCAATGCTAGATGGGACAGTTACAGAGAACGTCCTGTTCTTGTTTCTGTTCTTGAGGTCCTAAATCTAGCGAGGAACAACACTGGTGACAGATCTTTGAAATAAGGAGGCAATGCCCGGGTTCGATCCCTGTATCCCATAAGGTGTCCTGAGCACCGCCAGGAGTAATTCCTGAGTGCAGAACCAGGAGGAACTCCCAAGCCTCAGAGTGTGACTAACCCATTCCCCTAAAACATGGCATTTGGAGTGGCAAGGCTGGTTTTCCTGTTGTTAAAGGATTTTCAGTCCCACTTCTGGAAAGATTCGAATGTGGGCTGTGAGCGACCGTCAGTGTGGCTGGTGTCTCTCCTGACAGGCCTTGGAGGCTGGAAAAGGGACCAAGGTCTGCACTGTGTTCCACCTACCTCAGGAACTGCCCACTGGGTTCTCCAACGGAGCTTCCACAATCCTGCACGGTCTTTGGTAGAGCAGGAACTTAGTTCCCTCTCGTAGGATGCCTGAGCATCGCCGCTAGTAGCCAAGAGTCGAGGTCACTCACCGCTCACCCATTCAGAACCATTCCCTCTCCAATGCCTCCCCACATGGCAAGCTATTTCGCTGACCGTAAAATTAAAATTTTATGAAGGTAGAATCACATAATTTCATGCTTATTTTTGCGTTATGGTTCTTGGAGGCCTTGGATTTCTGACAATGTCCTAGCCATGTACAGAGACAAAATTTTCAATGTATTCACCTACTCATGGAGAAAGAAATGCTTGTGGATTAACTGAGGGCTGGGTATGTTATTTAAGCGGCTAACAGACCCACCCTGCTCTACAACACCCATCTCATTTTATGCAGGAATTCAGGTTTTATTTTTCTCTTACACTGGGAACGTGTAAAGAAAGAGCAACTTGCTAACTTAAATAAAAATACACATAGCGTGGCCTTTTCCTTAGGTAAGACTTATTTATTTACATTTCCCACAAGAATGCAGTATTATCTTTTCTTGAACAAAACCGGGGACTATGGAAACCATCTTTGTAGGAAGTTTTCAATAAGCTTATTACTTAAATAAACTCTTGAGTAGTTAAGAACAGGCTGTGAGCCGTTGGCGAACATACTGGTGCGGTTCTGCACCATCTCCTCACCGGCAATACATATACCGCGGTGCCAGAGCCCCCCAACTCGGACCCGAAGCCTCAAAACTCTGTGTCCCCTTTGGCTTGCTTCTCTCTCGACTCCACCCAGGCCTTATTGATGGTTCGCTTCATGTCGTCATCTCCGTCTTCATAGATTTTCTTCAGGACATTCATCAGGCCCTCGCTCGGGTCTGTCTCTGTGTCATAGGAGGGTTTTCTGACAGAGAAGACAAGAATGGAAGATTTCAGTTAAGTGAGATATTTTAAGAGACATTCATGCACCATTTCTAGGTAGGAGAAAAAAAAATCAGAGGAGTATTCAGATATTGAATCAACCTACACAAATCCATCCATACACACGACTGCATTGGGGCTTCAGGCCGTTTTTAGGACAATCCCACTGACCTTTCTGATCACCGTCTGTCCCAAGTATTACGTCACGACACACAGGAAGCCCATTAGAATTGAAATAGCCCTCAGGCCCAGGTGAACCAAGAGGTGAGCTGGAAGTGCCTGGACAGAGGTTCTGAGCAGAGCCAGAATCCTGCACCCAGGGGCCGAGCCTTAGGTCGCCCCACAGTGGGTGGCGGGTGGGAGCCTGCAGGGAAGGGTCTCTGAATCCATGTCCTTTAGAGGAGCAAATACTGACTCCCCCGATACAGTTCTTTTTCCCCCTTTGGGAAGAAAAGAACTCTTAGGGAGTAAAACTCACTTCTTAGGTCTGGAGCGATAGCACAGCGGTAGGGCGTTTGCCTTGCACGCAGCCAACACGGCCGACCCGAGTTCGATTCCTCCGCCCCTCTCGGAGAGCCCGGCAAGCTACCGAGAGTATTGGATATGCCAGACACAGTAACAACAAAGTCTCCAATGGAGACGTTACTGGGCCCGCTCGAGCAAATCGACGAACAATGGGAGGGCCTAACAGAATCTTCAGTGGAAACCCAAACCCCTGCAGTACGGAAACACACACACACACTCACACACAGACTGTACCCACTACCGCACTGGGCCCGCGCGCAAATCGACAAACAATGGGAGGGCCTAAGAGAGTCTTGAAATCGACGAACAATGGGAGGGAGGGCCTAACTGAAGCCACGGACGGACGGACGGACGCTCTACCCACTGTGCTATAGCTCTGGACACACACACACACACACACACACACACACGCTCTACCGACTGTGCTATAGCTCTGGGCGCACACACACACACACACACACACACACACACACACACACACACACACACACACACACACACACACACACACACGCTCTACCGACTGTGCTATAGCTCTGGGCCCACAAAAGCATCTTTAAAGCATGGACCTTAAAGCAGTCCTGACAGTAAACACACACACACACACACACACACACACACACACACACACACACACACACACACACACACACACACGCTCTACCGACTGTGCTATAGCTCTGGGCCCACAAAAGCATCTTTAAAGCATGGACCTTAAAGCAGTCCTGACAGTAAAGCCTGTCAGACGGGTACAGATATAAAGGGTCAAGGCACGCAACACAACCCTGCTTGTTCTGGGGTCACACTGGCAGTGCTCAGGGCACCAGATGGGGTTCCGGGGATCGAACCCCAGCTGGCCGTGTGCCAGGGAAGTGCCCTCCCTGCTGTACTATCTGTCCAAGAGGAAAGCAGTAGCCATCAGTGACCCCCCCAGGAACGGCGTGGAGGACGGTGCACCCACTCTTTCTCCTTGCAATCCTTCTCGACCTGAGTCAGGTATTCCCACCGCGTGTTCTCGGCTTTCTTCCTACACAAGATCAGAACTGTATCGGTCTTGACCTGAAGAGAGAAGTGGAGAAAAGCTGAAACGGGGCTGAAGAACGAGTCCTTCAAGAGACAATTATTGACTCTCATCACAAACCCCTTCTGGTCCCAGTCTTTCACGAACTGTCCCCGAGACCCCCCCGCCCCGCCCTGAAGCTGAAAACCCCAGCCACATGCTGGAGTGCTTCTGCGGTGCCCAGGGCTGCCAAGACCCGCGTGGACTGGGGTGCTCACAGAATGCCATCCTCCTGGCACCTGCAACGCAGAGGGAAAGCTCCGAGGGGCGTCTGGGGGACAGTAAGAGGCTTGGAGAATAACTGAATTAGGGAAGATACAGGTTTTTAAAAAAGACCACTTGTTTGGTAGCTGCTGAGGCCAAACCAAGTGCTTAAAATCTCTTTTTTTAGCTATCAAAATCACAGCCTCCCTTTTGCATCTTAACTCTGTGACCTGATTCCGCTGTAAGAGGAACAGGCCGAGCCGTGGCGAGGGAACAGCCAGATGCCACGACGATGAGCGTCCAGAGCCAGTGTCATTCCCTTCCTGGGAGTCACCGCGGCCCTGCCGGGCTGCCCCGCCCCCACGCGCTGGCCAAGGACCAGGAGTCCGTCGGCTGCAGCTGCCCTGCCTGGTCACTGTCACACTCAGGGCATGACCGAGCTCCGCTACGAAACCGGCCCTGGACCTAGAGCCGCTTACCTTTTTGGAACTGCCTTCCACGGAGATGGGTTTCAGGAGATTGTTCACGATCATCGAGTGGTTCTTCCCGTTCAGGTTCTTGACCAGGAGATCGAATGACCTACAACACAACCGCAAAGATGGAAGGGCGCGCACTGTGCCCCCGACGACAGCCCCTCCCCAGCAGCGGCGCTGACAGACCCGTGGTGGAGGGCAGCTCACCTGTCCGTGAAGCGCACCTGCACGCTCTCGGGGGGCACCTGGTGCACCCCAGCCAGGGTGACGTAGATCTTCACGAACTTGTCGGACTGGTCCCATCCTATGAGGGAGGCAAAGGCACACGGGGCAGAAACCCGTGAAATGGAAGCCGGTGGGAGACAAAGGGCCCGAGAGAAACGGCCACGACGCCAAGAAGTGACTACTTTGAGCGATTCCAGCCCAACTCATAGCATGGGTACGTTTTCGCCTGAGGGTAAGATGTGTGAACAGGAGCAGCTCACTTCCTGCTCTGACGGCAACGACTCGTTTTATTTCTAAACATGAGCTCTGCTTTCGCCCAGTATCTTCTAACCCGTGTTCTCTCCTCCTCCTCCTCTAAGGGCAATCCCAACCTTTCGGTTCCTCCCCTGACAAGGCCCCACAGAGATTCCATTGTTTCAGATTGGGGACCACACCTCAGGCGGGTCAGGGGGCTAGACAGGTGCCAGGGGCCAAACCCAGGTCAGCCACAAGGCAGGCAAGGGCCTCACCTGCGACCCTCTCTCCAGGCCCTTCGTCTATTAGTGCTACCATATCTACTAAATGTCACTCCCGCGCGGAGTCAAAACTAACTTTCTATGAATTATCAATAAAAATAGCATGCAACATAAAAGACACAACACACCAAGTCGAGCATGGCTCTGAGTAGCCTCTGCGTAGAAAGAAAACGCATGATACAACAGAAATCTATTATGCGCATGTTCCTCACTCAGGCCGGGAGAGTCTAGTATCCATCTAAGAGGGGTCTGGAGCATTTGTTTCTTCCGCTCTCTCACTCCATCCTCACAATCAAAGCTCCCTACATGCAGACACTGTCTGGTCTCTCCATATCCCGGGCCCACTCACGGCCACGCTCTCCTCCCCGCCTCCAGCCCTCCCCGACAGCTCCCCCCGCTCCAGCCCTGCTCCTGAATGACTTTAGAAGCATCAGTGAATTATTAAGGGGTTCTCGATGTGCTGGACACGGTCCTGGTGAGAGGCCAGCCACCCGCCCGTGTACCCAGCCGCTGGCCCAGACCGCGGTGCCATTTCTCTCTAAGCTCAGACTGGCATTCAGCAGCTGAAACACAGAACAGCGAGGTCACGCCGGGTCCGACAGGGCCTGGGCACATTCAGGGCAGGCTCCCCTTGCTCTGTGCCATCAGCGACACACCGTCCTCTTACTAAACGGGGCAAGAATGTCGTCACCCTGCTCCCTTTCCTGAAGAACAGATTCCCCCTCAAAACCCACAACACCCGATTCTCAATAAGCCTGTCGGCGGGTCCCGCAAGGCTGTACCATAATTACTGATCTTACCGTAATTACTGATCTTCACCGTGTAGCCCGTGGTCACCGGCGCCACCAGGGCCGCGGGCTTCTCACTGTTGACAGCATCTGCTTTCTTCTGTGCCTGCGGCTGTGTCTTGTTCTTGATCTCAATTTCCAGCCTGGACTTCTCCGCTGTCAGGGCATCGCGGACTCTCTTCCTGGAAGTCTTTCCCAGGAGTGTCTTCACCTCTTCCAGATCTTTCTGTAGCTGCAGAGGAAACACCGAAACAACAAGTCTCACGATGGGACGTTACTGGGCCCACTCGAGCAAATCGATGAACAATGGGAGGACCGCGACCATGACCGTGACCTACTGTGGTTTCTGGTGTTTCACCAAATCAAAGAGATTTGAATGTTTCTTCTTCCCACCCTGCCCAGGAAGTTTTCAATGTTTAATGAAAAAATGGGCTGGAGCGATAGCACAGTGGGTAGGGCGTCTGCCTTGCACGCAGCCAACATGGCCGACCCGAGTTCGATTCCTCCGCCCCTCTCGGAGAGCCCGGCAAGCTACCGAGAGTATTCGATATGCCAGACACAGTAACAACAAAGTCTCCAATGGAGACGTTACTGGGCCCGCTCGAGCAAATCGATGTCAACGGGAGGGCCTTTACCTTTATATTTCGAGTGGGCTGGAGCGATAGCACAGCGGGTAGGGCGTCTGCCTTGCACGCGGCCAACGTGGCCGACCCGAGTTCGATTCCTCCGCCCCTCTCGGAGAGCCCGGCAAGCTACCGAGAGTATCTCGCCCGCACGGCAGAGCCTGGCAAGCTCCCCGTGACGTATTCGATATGCCAGACACATAACAACAAAGTCTCCAATGGAGACGGTTACTGGGCCCGCTCGAGCAAATCGATGATCAACGGGAGGGCCTTTATTTATGTATTTTAATGAAAAAAATGCAGTGCGACACTATTTCCACAGGTGCTGGGGACCAGCCCTGGGCGAACAGGCCTGAAGCAGGGCGAGGACTGAGAGACAGAAATAGAGGATCCACAGACCCCTCCAGAGTTCCAAAGCACACAGACAGCAGTTGAGATCAGCGACATCCGTGGGCACATGGCCATCGGGGTGGAGCAGTCCTGCTCGCGTCCCTGAGGATGCCGAGGAGTCCAGCCCCGAAGGACCGGAACACTGAAGTGGCGGTTCTGCATCCTGATGACCTGTGTACAGCGCATCCCCAAGTCCACTATGACTACGGCTTCCTCTCCCTTGGCGCCAGACCTGAGGCTGCCATCGTCCCACTATCTGAGTCAGCTGCGAGACCCAATTTAAATTTTCTTGGGTTGGTTTCAATTTGGGTTCCTTCCCCTAGCCCACTGAAGTGAAAAAAAAAAAAAACAGCCAGAGCCCCTCTTCCCTTAAAAAACGGAAAAACAAAACATAACCAAGCCCAGGGACAGAACAACAGTACACAGGGGAGAGTGCCTGCCTTGCAGGCCTGTTCTCTTTCCTACTTGAGTTGATTTAAATAATCACTGTATCACTGTCTTCCCGTTGTTCACGGATTTACTCGAGCAAGCGCCAGTAGCGTCTCCACTGATCCCAGACCTGAGACTTCAGGAGCCTCTCTGTACTCGTCCTTCCCAACGCTGCTGGATTGGAGGCTCTTTCAGGGTCAGGGAAATGAGACTCGTTCTTGTTACTGTGTTTGGCATCTCGAAGACACCACGGGGAGCTTGCCAGGCTCTGCCGTGCGGGCGGGATACTCTCGGAAGCTTGCTGGGCTCTCTGAGAGTCATACATATACACACATGTGTGTATTTCCCTCTGTGGTTTGTTGTCTACTGTCTCGATTTAAATAATAAGCTTATTAAATAGTTTTCCAAAGATGGTTTTCACAGTACCCAGCCCCCCCCCCACCTGGGATCCATCCCTGGTCTCCTATATGGTCCCCCAGCCAGCTAAGTAACTGCAGAGGACTGCTGGGTGTGGCCCCAAAACAGGAAGAAAAAAATGGTGGGTGGAGCAAGAGTGACAGTATAGTGTATAGCGGGGAGGCCACGTGCCTTGCAAGTGATGGGCCTGGGACAGATCCCAGCACCCCGTAAGGCCCCTGAGCACTGCCTGGTGGTGTCCAAACTGAGTGCAGAGCCAGGAGTAAATCCCAAAGTGTGGTCCCAAGACAAAACAAAACACAAAAAGGCTACGTGTTCTACTTTGGCAGATGTTGCCCTTGTTTTACCAACAAAATACCCTTTTTTTGGGGGGGGGGCCACCCCCGGCGATGCTCAGGGTTGACTCCTGGTTCTGCACTCAGGAATTAATCCTGGTGGTGCTCGAGGGACACTATGGGATGCCAGGGATCGAACCCGGGTTGGTCGCGCGCAAGGCAAACGCCCTCCCTGCTGTACTACGACTGCGGCCCCAAGTTTTACCAACAAAATTACTTGAGATGGACAAGGTGACAATTTTGTCTTTAGGATCCTTAAACCAGAAAGTTAACAGTTACAGAAAAGTCAAAACACAGTCCAGAGTCTGACTGAACCAAGCAGCGGGCCCTAATCTGCAGTTCCCGACGTTGACCCAAGGACCTCCGGGAACCAACAAAGGCGCTCATTTTCACAACTGCCTCAAAAATCCCCAACTGATTAAAAAAATATATATATCAAAATGCCGAGTCCTGGACGAAGCCCCCTCCGCCGGGGAGCGGCTACTTTGCCATCAACTTTTTCTGTTCCCAAACATAGATGCCAACACGCAAGTTCCTTAAGAATTAAGAGATCTGTCTGAGGGGCTGGGGCGTTTGCCTTGCACGTGGCTGACATGGGTTCAATTCCCAGCATCCCATAGGGTCCCCTGAGCACCGCCAGGAGTGATTCCTGAGTGCAGAACCAGGCGTCAGCCCTGAGCATCGCCGGGTGGGAGTCCCAAAGTGCAAAAAAATAAACAAATAAAAAGCAAACTAGGGGCTGGAGTGACAGCAGTGTGGGGAGGGCGTTTGCCCAGCACGCGGCCTACCCGGGTTCGATCCCCGGCATCCCATAGGGTCCCCCGAGCCCCGCCAGGAGTGATTCCTGAGTGCAGAGCCAGGAGGAACCCCGGTGCATCGCCGGGTGTGACCCAAAAAGCAAAAAAAAAAAAAAAAAAAAAGAGATCCATTTGAAAGACAAGCGTGATGGTTGGCTTCATGCCCCGTTCATCCAGCTTAATCAACGGCTAAATAAATAGCAGTGCCCCTACATTATAAATAATAATAATAATAAAGAGACAAGCGTGATTGAGCGATTCCCGCCTGCACCCAAAATCCTTCCAGCAGGGAACCCGGGGAATGAATGGACTTAAGAGCCTTCACCCAAGCGACCCAAGGGCCTCGGGTCCCCCCTCTGCAGGACCAAGGGGGGCATCAGAGAACCCCCAGCAAGGCGGGTCTGGGAGGGGGAGGTCCTCAACCCCGACCCCTCCCCGAGATTCCCAGGGCTGGACCGTGCATGCCCGGCGCTGCCGGGGAGCCCGGGGCTTGGGCGGGGGTCTCACCCTTGGGCCCTCCGCACCGTCCCAGCCTGGCTCGGGGGTGCTGGGCCGCGCAGTGGACAGGACCGAGGACACCCACGGGGGCCCCGGGCCCACGAGGCTGGGGCGGGCGTCCGGGCTGGGGTCCTGGGGTCTCGTTGGCCGGCTCCCCGTCCCTCCCCGATATTGCATTTGCTTTTCGGTTGTGTTTATTGGGCTTTTTTTGCTGGATTTCGGGGGTGGGCGGGGCCGAACCGGACCGTTTTCCCCGCCCCCCCCCACCCCGGGGTGGGCCCCGGGGTCGCCCCCCGAGGCCGGGCGGGGCCTCCGCGGCGCCCACGCGCGAGCGAGGCCGGCCCGAGGGTCCCGGCGGGCGCCCCCCAGACCCGCGCCCCCCGCCGCCCGCGACCCCGGACCCCCGCCCCCCGCGCCTCACCTCCTCCACGACGGACGCCATGGCGGGCCGCGCCGGGGACGGGACGGGACGGGCGGGCTGGCGCCGCAGCCGGCGCGGAGCGAGGCGGCCGTGCGCACGCGCGCACGCACGCGGGGCGTCTGGAAGCTTCGCGAGCCCCCGCCGCCGGCCCCGCCCCCTGCGCCGCCGGGCCCCGCCCACCCCCGGCGCCGCCGCGCAAGTCTCGCGAGCCCAGCCGGGAGCGCGCCGCCGCCGCTGCGCAGGCGCAGGTGCACGCGCAGGCGCAGACGCGGCTCCCGCGCCCCTTGTTTAGTTTCATTTCTCCGCCCTCCCCGGAAGCGACGGAAGCCGGGCGGGGTCCGGACCGGAAGTTCGGCCATCTTTCCCGCGTGCGGGCGGGAGGAGCCGGCGCGGCCGCCCGTGCGTCCGGCCGGGAGAGGACGTGGAGGGGCGGGGGGTTGGGGGGGTTGGGGGGTCTCCCCGGCCCGTGGGAATGTCCACGGGAAAGAAACTGCCCAGTGGGCTCCTCCCGGGTGCAGGGGTCGGGGCTGGGGAGGGGGTCCGGTCAGAGGACACATCCCCCTCCCCCCCACCCTGCAAGGTGTCAATCAAGGGGCAGTCCCCAGGGCGTGGGCGGGTTTGGGGAAACGGGAAATTAATCCGGGGTGGGGTTGCTCGGCGGGATGTCCAGGGTGATGAATGATTGTGATTATAGAAATAAAATAAGGGGTCTGGAGCCATAGCACAGCGGGGAGGGCGTTGGCCTGGCACGTGGCCGACTGGGGTTCGATTCCCAGCATCCCATAGGGTCCCCCAGAGCACCGCCAGAAGTGATTTCTGAGTGCATGGGCCAGGAGTGACCTCTGTGCATTGCTGGGTGTGATCCAAAAAGCAAAAAATAAAATAAAAAATAAAAAGATAGCCCCTCCCATGGGATATGTGTGCTGAAAGTAGGTAGCACTGTTGCACTGTCTTCCCGTTGTGCATCAATTTGCTGGGGCGGGCACCGCGTCCCCATGGTGAGATTTGCTGTGACTGTTTTTGGCATCTCGGATACACCGCAGGGAGCTTGCCAGGCTCTCCGAGAGGGATGGAGGAATCAAACCTGGTTCGGCTGCGTGCAAGGCAAACGTCCTCGCCGCTGTGCTATCGCTCCAGCCCATAATATAATAAAAAGTAGATAAAAGGGTCTCGCGATATCTGTATTGCAAAGCGTGACGCTCCAAGGTAGAGAGAGAGGGAAATTGTCTGCCATGGGGGGTTGGTGGGGTGCAGGGAACATCGGTGGTGGAGAATGTGCACTGGTGGGGGTTCCATCATTGGATGACCGAAACTCAAACATGGAAGTTTTGTAACCAGCTCATGGTGATTACAAAAAAATGTTTTTTTTAAATAAAAAGATGGGCTGGAGTGATAGCACAGCGGGTAGGGCGTTTGCCTTGCACGCGGCTGATCTGGCAGACCTGGGTTCGATTCTTCTGCCTCTCTCAGAGAGCCCGGCAAGCTACCAAGCTACCGAGAGTATCCTGCCCACCCGGCAGAGCCTGGCAAGTTCCCGGTGACTATTTGGTATGCCAAACACAGTCACAACAAGTCTCACAATGGAGACATTACTGGGTAGGCTTGAGCAAATTGATGAACAATGGGAGGACAGTGACAATAAAATAAAACAGCCCTTCCTGAAACGAGGTATCAAACACTGCCTCTAGCCGGGTCTGGCCACCTCTACTCTCCCCAGACTTTTTGTCTGGGTCTTGGGCCTCCCTGATGATTTCTCTGCTTCTCCGTGCCATTGACAGTTCGCTTCTGGGTCGGGAAATCTTCCCCCCTTTACCTGAAAACCTCCAGGAGCTTCCTAAAGGCTTGGGACAAAGCCATCGCTCCTCCCCACCTGGGAACATGACATTTTTTGTCATTTATTTTGCCTGCTGGATAACTTTTCCTGCAGAGGATCACCGGTTCTGCTTCCACTTGCTTCTGCTCTTGGAAGTCACCCTAGGGAGGCCCAGCCCAGTTCTGCTGGGGTTGGATGAGAGTCACAGGACTCGCAGGGGGCACAGATGGATACGCACCGTGAGGGGCTGGCTCAGATGTGGCCCCTGCAAGTCTGCGGTGCCCGACAAGCCCCTTGAACCCAGCCGAAGTGATAGGGGTTTGGAGTGTGTCCTATGGTGGCGCATACACCATCCTGCCCCGCTTTGCTTCATAAAGTCACCGCCTGAAATGGGTCTTTGAGCACCCACCGGGATGGCCTGGTAGGGTGGGAAACACGTTTGGAGATTTGGGGGCGGGAGGGGAGAAACATTCCGACCAACCCAGCAGAGCTCAGGGGCTACTCCGGTAGGGTCAGTGCTTGGGAGAACCATATGTGATGCCGGGGATCGAACTGGGGTCTGCTGCATGCAAAGCAGGTACCTTTGCTGAATCTTGGGGCCCAGAGATATTTTAATTGTTAAAAACTGGGAAAGTACTAGGAGAGAATAGGACAGCGGATTACAGTGCACAAAGGAGCGCCCCCCTGCCCCTGCCCAAATCTTCTGGCCTCTGAAGCCAGTAATGAGTCACAATCTTGTTCATTTAGAGATGGGCACCTTTTTTGTTTTGGTTTGGTTTTTTGGTTTGTTTGTTTTTGGGGTCACACCCGGGGCTGACTCAGGGCTGACTCCTGGCTCTGCACTCAGGAATGATTCCTGGCGGTGCTCAGGAGACCCTATGGGATGCTGGGAACCGAACCCGGGTTGGCCGCGTGCAAGGCAAATGCTTACCCGCTGTGCTATCGCTCCAGCCCCCCTATATCTGTATTCTTAATATACGTAATGATGAATGTTAGCTGACCCAGGAGGCAGCTGCGGAGTAAAATCATTCTCGCAGGAGTTGACACTAGCTGCCTTACATCAAACGTTGGTTTCCTTCTGCCTAAATGGAGCCTTGAACAAGGCAGGTTGGGAGGCAGTCAGGTATCTATTATAGAAGCACTTACCGGGGCTGGAGCGATAGCACAGCGGGTAGGGCGTTTGCCTGGCACGCATCCGACCCGGGTTCGATTCCCAGCATCCCAAAGGTCCCCTGAGCACTGCCAGGAGTAATTCCTGAGTGCATGAATGAGCCAGGAGTAACCCCTGTGCATCGCTGGGTGTGACCCCAAAAGCAAAAAAAAAAAATCACTTACCACAGGACCTAAAGCGTGGCAGAGAGAACTCAGAGGTGACTGTTTTACACGTTTGCAGGCAGGAGTTCCAGTTCTGTCACTGGCGCCGCAAGGGTTCCCCCAGTCACCACCAGGTGTCGCCAAGAAAACCAAAAGTCAATAGGATTTCGGCTTTCTCCCACCTCCCTGGGGAGACAGCAGCCGACTTCGGGGTGTCTGGGTCAGTCTCCATACACGTTAGCTTCCCTTTCTTCCAGCAGGGGAAAACATCTTTCATCTTTCGCCCTGAAGTCTATAAAGCAAACGCAATTCAGCTTTTTCTCGAAAATCTCAGTGCTGGGACGAATGGAAACGTTACTTGCGCCTGCTTGAGCAAATTGATGAACAACGTGATAACAGTGATACAGTAACACTGTCAGTGTGAGTGACACAAGATGCCAAAGCCAGGATGGTATCCCCAGGGGAACCAGACAGAGAACAGCAGGACATCACCTCAGGGTGACTGTATGCGGGTTTAGTCCCTAAAATCTGGAGACAGTTTCCTTGGAAAATTGGACTCCCTAAAAAATCACCAAAAACCACCTTTCCTGAATCTTGCATATGATATACTCCAGGTAACAAGAAATTTGTGATTATTTCCAAATACACCATTTGCCATTGGAAGCTAATTTGCTTAAAGCAAGTTTGCTGTCCTAGAGCCTGCACTTGTTGGCAGTCTTTTCATGATAAGAGTAATCAAGTTTTGTTTGAGTATAGTTTCAAAAAAGGTGAAGTTGGGGCTGGAGCGATAGCACAGCGAGGCGGGCATTTGCCTTGCATGCAGCCGACCCAGGTTCAATTCCCAGAATCCCATAGGGTCCCCCGAGCACCGCCAGGAGTGATTCCTGAGTGCAGAGCCAGGAGGAACCCCTGAGCATCGCCATAAAAAAAAAGTGAAATTTGAGACTCATCAACTATAAAAGGGACATGTGACTATTTTGAAGGGAGGGGCTTCCTGAGGGTGTTAAGGGGGTCTTGGCCACTCCCAGTAATTTTTATTTTTGGCTTTTTGGGTCACACCCGGCAATGCACAGGGGTCACTTCTGGCTCTGCACTCAGGAATCACTCCTGGCAGTACTCAGGGGACCATATGGGATGCTGGGAATCGAACCCGGGTTGGCCTCGTGCAAGGCAAACGCCCTCCCTGCTGTACTATCGCTCCAGCCCCACTCCCAGTAATTCTTGGCCAATCCGGCTGGCAGTTCAGTGTGAGGCCACGGTGCTGCTTGGGTTATAGGGCTGCAGCCCCAGGCCTGAGGGCTGAATCCAGTCATGTTGGCGGCATGGTTTGGATTTTGTGTTTTAGGCTACACCCGGTGGTGCTCAGGACTCACACCGTATGAGATGCTGGAGATGGCACTTTGGTCAGCCGTGTGCAAGGCCAGGGTCCTGCCTGCTGGACTCTTGTTCTGGCCCTGCATGTGCTGTTTTCTGGCCCTCAAATATGATTTATTTTTTTCTATTTAACAACTTGGCAGGCCACCGAATGTAGCCTGCCCACGCGGCAGAGTCTGGCAAACTCCCCGTGGCGTCCCCAATATGCCAAATACCAGTAACAATGATGGGTCTCATTTTCCTGACCCTGAAAGAGCCTTGAATGTGGTACTTTTTACAATCTCAGGGCTAGGGCGAAGGAGACATTACTGGGGCCTGCTCCAGGCAATCGACAAACAGGATGATCGTGAACGTGATTGTGAACATGTAAATGGTGGGCCAGCAACTGGTGCTCACACCCAAGTGTGAGCCTCGGAGGTCCGCAAGCTGGAATTTCATAGTGGACTTGTTAGTGCAAGGCTGCCAAGTTTTGGGGGAACTGGTGCCCTACAGGGAAATGACAGAACCCGAATTCAGGGTTACCCTTGGGAGATCTGCATCCCCACTGGCCATTTCTGGCTGCCTGCAGGTCACCCAGGAGAACCCCCTATATTGAGATCAGTAGGTCTTTT